TTTTTCAACTTTTTGGCATATAATATTAATAGAGTATCACTTAAAGTAAAATTAATGCAAAATAAGAGAGAGAGCATGTTGGAGTCACCAACTATTACCTCTCCTTCCAAGAAGATAGCATTACTTATCATGCTGTAGATAAGTCTCTCACACGGCACACACTGTCATAAATACACTAACTTCTGAGAGTGTAGGCTAGACATGACTGTCCCCAAGACAATGATTCTTTTTTACTCAAGAAAATCGTACAGTAAATAACTTTTCTTCCCTTTGAGACAAGCACAGCGCTTGAGGCTGCTGCAACACAACAACAAAATATCTTCACAAATGTCTCCAAACAGTCAAGCTGAAAATCTAAGCCAAAGTTTCATTTAACAGCCTGTCAGTTTTTTGATGTGAAGCTAATGAATGCAGTGGCAAACAAATCCATCAAACCTAACATCAAAACAACTGCACTTCATCCCACCAAACGGAAAAATGAAATACAACCTGCAGGCCAGCTCTTTGATCCAACTCAGGCAGGAAGCAGCCCTATGTGCCACCACGTAATCATGGACTCCATCTCAGCACAGAAGGAAAGAATACTCCACACAAACGGAAAACATTCACCTCGACTATGCACCAATATCTCATTTCAATTGTTAAGCTATGTTACATATTTTTAAATCTCTACTAGAAAAAATATATATGTAGCATTTCACTCTAGATTACTATTAAAATGCCTAAAATAAGTAACAGGATAGCATGTTCCACTCATAACACAACTTTACAAATGGAGGTTTGTAAAAGCCCTCTACTCTTTATGAAGTCTCCTTGAAGACAAAGACTACACATCTTTCTCCTTCGTACACATGCATGCGGCACAGTTTCTGGGCAGAGGAGGAACTCGCTGAGCACTCTCCAAGCCCAGCTCGGCCTGAGCCAGCAGGCAAATGGGCATGTGGCTATCCTGAACATCCCCCTCAAAGTTTTCAGTGAAAATCTTACCTCTGATTAACAAAATGGGGGAAATTACATAGCTGCCTGGTTAAGTAAGTGTGTCCCCTTAAGACAGAACTTCTGATCTGCAGTATCATGCAGGATTTGCTATGTTCTGTGATATCATGCAGGATTTGCTATGCTATATTTTGTAGGTCAAGGAAAGAGAGAGCTGAATGATCCTCACGTAGGAGAGAAAGAAAGAGGAACAAGAGGAAGAGTAAGGGCCTAAGGCATTAGCAGAGATTTTTAGAAACAGGGATAGTCAAATTAAGTTGGTTTCAAGGCTATGAGGTCAATGTCTCCTCATGCCCACCTCTGCCCGTTTTCTGAGAGTCTTCTCCACAACCACGGCATAAAACAGCCTTCTGTGAGACAAGGCAGTTTGGGTAGATATGAATACACCAAAAGGCAGTGAAATAGTCACATAATTATTGTTTTTGTTGTTGTTGCTGTTATTTAGTTGAGAATAGAAAACATCCAGGAATTTGCTGAAATTTGGAAAACAGCTATTTGGGCTTAGCACAAATAACGGAATGGGAGTTCCAGTCAATGTTAGCCATTTCTTGAACAAATATCACATACCAATAAGTCAGTAATAGAGTCAAAAGAAACCCACAGAAATCCCCTCTCCCATCCTACCCCAGAGAAGCCAACAACAAAGGAAGCGGTCCTTGATCCCTTGCCAGCGCCACCTCTACTCTCACTTTGCTCTCATCCTCCAAGTGATAAATTCACAGAAACATGCATGGCGCCCACACACAGCAGACAAGCACTCTCAGAATAAATAGAGCTGCATTCAATAGCAGCCACCGGAATGGGCTGAAAAGGTCCTATTAACCCAAGTCTGCAGGCCCTTGAACAGAGAACATCAATATATCAGTGAACCTGGGGATTATCTTTTCAAAACCTAGTGGATTTCTTAAATAAAAATTAGTCTTCTGTAGCAGTTCTTTTCCAAGTCATGAAATCAGAGATGCTGGTTTGTAATATATTAAATATAATCAGTGGAGACCCCACATTAATTAATTTTTGCTGCACCACAAACAGATACTATATGAGATGCTTTTATATACTCAAATCAAATACGTGACAGGGGAAGCAGATGTCATCCCCCAGTGCTTAAACCATGAAAAAGTATGCCATTGCTTTTCAAATTATCCCTCCCAAATGCACAATTCACCATCACTTATGACAAATAACTGTTTTTTTAATAGTTATCATTTAGGATAAATTGAAGAAGGCAAAGAATTAAGACAAAGTAACAAATTTGGTCATCTTCAAAGCTAACTGCCCTTTAAGCGCAATCCATAATTCCCCAGCAAACACAAAAACTAATACCAAGTCACTAATTTTCAAAGATTAAAAACTACATGTGTGTCTACACACACATGCTTGCACACGTGCACACGCACCCACACGCACACAGTAATATCATAAGGCTGCCTAAAGAAACAGACCTGGAAATCAATAAAAATATATATCAAATAAATTATAAAAGACACCAAAATCTGCACAAAACACTCCATCACAGCACACTATAATGGAAGAGAACTTATTAACTGAGAATAGTCAGGAAAACATTATCATTGAGGACTATAATTTAAGAAAGTACAAGGGTGTTTCAGTGAAAATTTTAAAATTGTATCCATTACAAGTTTAGTTTCCTGTTTTTAAGCAAAATAACTAAAATTATTTACATGATTCAAAGTAGGTTCTTAGTATATCACCATGTCAGTTATTCATTGGAACTCTCTGTGGTAGGCAGAATGCCTAGATCCCCATGTCCGAAATGCTGAAATCTGTAACTATCATTTTACATGACAAAAGGGACTTTGTAGATTGCTTGCTCTGAAATGTAGAGAACCACAGGCAAGATGCTAAGAGAGGCCTCTAGCAGCAAAGACCCAGCTGACAGACAAGAAGGAAAAGGGAACTCAGTCCCACACTGCAAGGAGCTGATTCCGCCAACAACCTGACAACAAGGAAGTGGGTTCCTCACCAGCCTCCAGTAAGGAACACAGACCCACAAGCACCTTGACTTTCTGCTTGGTGACCTCTAACCTACAGAACGATGAGACAGCACATGGGCATTGTTTTAAATCACTAATTTTATGGTAATCTGCTACAGCAGCAATAGAAAAAGACTACGTTCTCAGAGTAGCACCACCTCACCAAAAATAAGGGACAAGTTGAGACAACACCTAAAAACATATACAATTACAACAGTTTTAAATTAACTGCCCAAACTGCATTATAACCATTGAATATTGCATACCTAGTAAAATACCCAGAACCAAGACAGTCATATCTTTGACTAAACTGAAAGCTATAAATCAACACAGTGTGGGTGCATATAAACATACCTGAGTTTTTTTCCCCTCACAACAAATCTATGGGGTAGAGAGGTATTTGTACTTTACATAGGAAGAAACAAAAAGAATAAATGACTTTCCTGATGTTACATGGCTAGGTAGAAGAAGAAAAGTTGGGCCTCAGATCCCTGTCTCCTCCACCACAGTCTACTGATTCTTAACCCCACAATTCTAGGTTCCAAAAGCTGAGATTTCAGAAAGGATCACTATTGACCTCTCTGACTTGGTCACACTCCACTCCACATCCTCACGTAAATGTGGACACATTTCAGCCTTGGGGAGAAGCTATTTTGGTTAATACCTTCAACTAGATCTGAAACATAGTAAACAAACACCAACTAATTTTTTCTGGAGACTCTGAACAGCTGTGATAGCTGACTTACTACCACAATGATTAAAGATGCAAACTATAAAATAGCAAACCTTGTTTTAACCTCGAGGCTATGACACTGTTTCAATGTAGATACTAGCATTACATTTATGCAAAACAACACTGCAGTAGCTAGCCAAGGTACATACACACTGAGTTTTCTATTTTTTATTAGGTTTATTGTAATAGGCAGGATGGGTAATGGGAAGAAATAGTTCAGTTCTGTTCCTTTCTAAATTACCCCTCATAAATAGAAATTATTCAGAACAGAAAAAGTCTTCTAATAGCAGGAGCTTTCTTTTATGTCACGAATTCATTCAAATGCTTCCTGAGCTGCCAAAGGGCTATACTTTTATTTAAATATATTATGCAAGTTCTAAATACACATATAAATTAAACCTGGAGTCATCTGTCCTGCATATATTTGCATCCAAGTTTTATCAATGTACAATGAATAATACTAACTTGTGCCATGCAGTGGCCAAGGTAAGGACATGTAAGCTGTGTGTATCATTTTCCACTAAATCTATGTCGATTTTGCATACTCTATAAAACACATAGTTTCATTAACAAGCTTCCCTCTGCCAGCCTGCACCTTTGCTTTAAAAGCCACAGGAAAGACAGCAACCTAATAGAAGCCACCATCACTTTGAAGGTGTCCTCTATTTAATGCCACTGAGGGAAGTTAATTAAATTTTATAGAAGTTGTTGCTTATGAATGAAAATACACAGTATGTAAAACTAAACTAAATATGCTGGGCAGAAGATGCAAAATTTTATTCCAAATTTAACATGAAGATCTATTTCTTATTCTACATTATTACTTTTAAGAATTCATTTCGGCACTAAGGTAAGTTTTAATCATTCCTTCTTACCATTCTTCCTCAACTTGTTACAATTTTACCAGACACTTTTCTTGTGCAAATAGTTGTTTTTTAAGCCATGGACTAAACTCTAGCATGGAGTTCAGTCATAGAGCCACACAGGGAGCCACTGGAAAAATCTCACACAAAAACAATTGGTGGCCTTAAGAGAGAAGCAAACATCAGTTGCATAAAATTACCTCTCAAGGTAAATTATTTCACATTAATTTCAAAACAGACAAATATAGCTACAAATGGTAATACAGCCTGTGTAAAATAAATATATTTAGTCTGAAATAAATTATCATGGTGAGAGGTCAAACACAAATGCTACAAACAAGTGATCTTAGCTTTCTCGCTACACTAACCAGAATACACATTTAATTTATGCTTTATTTCTGAGGCATAACTTACCAATTTAGCAACTTTCCCATAGTCAATCCATCTGACAGTAGCAAAATTTGTAGATTCTGCACAGTTGAAACCGTGATTAAAACCAGCATGGTAGCCATATGGGAACGTGATCATAAATTCTCCAGCCTCCTGGGTGATCTGCAGGGTAGAAAACATATAATATTTTCCAATTATAAGACTTCTCAAATTGTGAATACAAGTAAAATATATTTCCTAGAAAAAATACAGGAAAAAATGCCATGACATCAGAGCTGTACCAGTATAAAAAAAGTCCCTACAAACCCTTTACTTAATTCTTTAATAGTTCTTCAGAAAACTTTCCAAAGACTTTTCTAAACTGGGTTTAGTTCAATCATTCAATCCATAATCAAAGATATCATATTTTATATGAAAACATCTCTGTTATTCTAATAAATTTGTTCATATAATCAAGCAGTGTGTATATTTTATTATTTATACATATGTATATACTAGAGGCCTGGCGCATGAAATTCCTAGGCCTGGCCTGCGATCAGGGCCATCTTCCCTGGCTGCCTGCAGCCAGCCCTGCCACCCACCGCCACCCACCCCATTCCCCATTTGCCATCGGGTGATCGGAGCCTGCTGGCTGGGGGGAGGAACTGAGAGGTTGGCCCTTCAGCACACTCACCGGCCCTGCCCCCACCCCTGCCGCTAACCAGCCTTCTGTGTGTGGGGAGACTGGTGGGGCATGGGCCTTGGTCTGGCGCCACCCGCATCCCCCACCACCCATCCCCAGTTCCCCATTCAGAGCCTGCTGGCCAGAGAAAAGGACCAAGTGGTGGTCAGGGCGCCTCATAGTGACTGGTCAAGCAGTCGTCCTGGTTGTTCCACTGTTAGGGTCAATTTGCATATTACCCTTATATTATATAGGATAATTTTTTTTTTATTTCAGAGAGGAAGGGAGAGATAGAAACATCAATGATGAGTGAGAATCATTGATCGGCTGCCTACTGCACACCCCCCACTGGGGATTGAGCCCACAATCCAGGGATATGCCCTTGACCGGAATCAAACCCAGGACCCTTCAGTCCGCAGGCCAACACTCTATCCACTGAGCCAAACCAGCTAGGGTATACTTTATTATTTTTTAAATTTTTGCATTGTTGGAGTTATATTAGGACATATTATAACTGACATTTTTTAAGTTAGAGCTACAAAAACTTTGATAGTGGGTGTTGAATAGGCTTCATTATGAATTCCTATTGCTAAAGAGTTGGTGGTATTCACCAAATTATTCTTTTATAATACTTAGAAAACATTCAATTAACTGTATTTCACTTAATAGTAAAATTTCTATCAAATAATTATTCAAATAAATGTATATATGTAGGCATATGTAAGAAAATGCATTTTTAAATATAATTAAAATACATAAATCAATCAGGAGTTAAAAAGCAAAGATGGAAAATGTATTTATTGTCATTTTGATATTTTTTTTAAAAATCTTATTTTCATAATCACCAAAGCACACAAAATACACCAGGACCTATAGAAAAAATATTAAGGATAAATTTTTCAGAGTTTTGGGGGGGGGGGGTGTATGTGTGGGTGGTTTTTTTTTTAATCCCCCCCCCAGAAAATTTTTCTTTTTTTTTTTAATATATTTTATTGATTTTTTACAGAGAGGAAGGGAGAGAGATAGATAGTCAGAAACATCGATGGGAGAGAAACATCGATCAGCTGCCTCCTGCACACCTCCCACTGGGGATGTGCCCGCAACCCAGGTACATGCCCTTGACCGGAATCGAACCTGGGACCTTTCAGTCCGCAGGCCGACGCTCCATCCACTGAGCCAAACCGGTTTCGGCAAGAATATTTTTCAATTAATTTTTAGGGAGAGTGAAAGGGAGGGAGGGGGGAGAGAGAGAAAAAAACATCGATTCGAGAGAGACACGTTGACTGGTTGTCTCCTGCTAGCACCCCGGGGCCAGGAATCGAGCCTGCAACCAAGGCACGTGCCCTTGACCAGAACAGAACCCGCAATCCTTCACTCCGTGAGCTAAAGCTCTATTCATTGAGCCAAATTGGCCAGGGTCAGAATTCTTTGTTTTTTTTAATTGGCCTACTCTAGAATATATTGTCAAGTTTATTGCTCTCTAGTTCACTCAGTTTCCATGGTTCATTTCAGTCCTTAAGGTTGAGAAATGAATATATGGGTATGTACATGTGTGTAAATATACAAGAGACACATTGTATAAATAAAGGTGCTCACACTAGAATTGACTTGCCAGTTTAGGAATGCTAAAATGTTGTGTGTGGGGGATGTTCTTTCCCAACAATTCTGAAATTTAGTTCATCATCCCCTACCCCCGATAGCCCAGCAGGTGTCCTATTGCAGTGAGCAGCAACTCAGCTGCCACCTGGCAGGGAGAGAGAATGGCTTATCAATGTTCAGCATGGCTCCAGTCCCACCATTCTGAGCCACATAAGAACAAAGCCTGATTCTCTCCTTTCCCGATCTCACTGAATCTCATTAATTATAATTGTGCTTGGAAACTAGGCACTTCCTTGTAACTATGTGATAAAAGAAAATTCACCCTGCCCAACTATTTCTAACCCTATAAAGATGCCTCTGTAAAATTTCTAGAAAAATGGCAGTCACAGCCAACATATAAGGCCAATTTACTGCCTCTATGTAATAAACTGATAATAATTTTTAAACGTACAGGGAAAAAAAAAGAATGAGTCCCTTTCATTATAAGGCTAGGAGCCCAGCCGCGCGATTTGAAATCACAAGGCCCTGCCTTGACACCCGAACCTCTCCACACAGAGCTCCAGCGCACCTGGCCCAGCCCCCAAACCCTCTGGCCTTCTCTGGCCGCTTCCCTGCTTCCACCCGCCTCCCTGCTTCCACCCGTCTCCAGAGCAACGCGGCGGCTCCGCCCCATCATGGCACCAGAGGAGAGCATGGAAGCCTCCTGCCTGCTGCGCTGTGCTCCTTCCCCTGGCAGGTGGGCCGCGGTGGGTGGCGAAGGACTGGTCGGGGGGCGCTATGCGCTCTCACCCCTGCCCTCCTTGGCACGGGATGGTCCCGCCTCCTCTAGGCGCCTCCCCGCTTCCACCCCATCTCGGGAGCAATGCCCCAACTAATATGCTAATGACCTGGTCATTACCCCTTACAGCATATTGACATTAGCATATTAGCTCTTTATTAGTATAGATTAAACAACCACTGTAATTCCATATCATGAAAAAAGTCCAATAAGGGTAATACACATAATCTAAAAGTAGACATTAGCTATTTTTTCAATATGCTTTTTTCATATATATGTATAAATACATTGAAAGAAGGGAAAAAATGTTACTCCAACTGTGAAATGATAGTCTAAGAAAGAGGGCTGAATTGAGGAGGAAGAGTACCTGACTATGTAATATACACTATGCAAAGTCCTTCATATGCAGATCAGCCATTTTCAAGCAATGTGCCACAAGAATTTTTAAAACATGCATCACCTGACTATTTAGTCAGGGGCACTGACCTCTTTTATTTGCCAACCTGTGGCCTAGACCCATGGTCGGCAAACTGCGGCTCTTTGGCCCCTTGAGTGTGGCTCTTCCTAAGCCTTAGGAGTACCCTAATTAAGTTAATAACAATGTACCTACCTATATAGTTTAAGTTTAAAAATTTTGGCTCTCAAAGAAATTTCAATCGTTGTACTGTTAATATTTGGCTCTGTTGACTAATGAGTTTGCCAACCACTGCCTTAGACTATCAAATGAAAAATTGACAAGAGCCAATACAACAATAGCCATCCAGTGTGAATGAATCAAAATTATAGCTTTTTTTTTGGTCAGACTGGCAAAAAATATAACATTTTTTGGTGTGCCACAGAATTTTAATAATTAGTTTATGTGTGCCATAAGGTTAAAAAAAAGGTTGAAAAATGCTGATATAGATGATCTCTTTTCATCCTCATAATGGTCCTATTAAGTAGTACTATTATTATCCCATCTTCCCAATAAAGAAAAAGAGGCTCAGAAAAATTATGTAATTTACCCAAGTGACAGAATCAGGAATGAACTTGGAAACTCTGTCCCATGTTACATTATCATCATCAGAGAATAAGTTCCTTGAGGAGCACAGAGTCATGCATCACACCATTCATCAAGGTGAAAGGGGAAGTGGCAGTATTTCATAGGAAAAACAATTGTCAATCAGACTTTGCCATGGGTGTCTCACCATCTGAGAACAATCATCCTGTCACTTCCCGAAGAAGTGAGAAAATGCCCCATCCTCAAAAGACCAGATAAGGGCCTGACACAACTAGTAATGTACCAAGCAGTATGTAGGAAGCCAGAGCCTACAAAGGGGTGCAGGTTGCCTACCTCCTACCCCCAAAGATTAGAAAGGACCTACAAGCCACAAAGCCCTCCATCCTGGGAAAATGAACCAATCCCTCAGTCCTGCTACTTTACATAACCTCTCTCCAAAGAACAGCTCTATCAATTCCTATCACCAGCCCTAAACCCAACAGAGGTTTATGTGTCTTGGGGGACTCTAGTCCACTCCTCCTCGGTCTTCTAATATTCCAACGTAAATAAAAGTACCCAATCAAGCTTATTCCAACCACCTAAAGGAAACACTCACTAATGTGTCTGAGACTGAAAAAACCCAGTTCGCAGAGGTGTCTGCAAGTAAGACAACGCCCCAAAGTAACAATGGGCCCTCTGGGACACAGCCTCTGACCTCTATGACTGCAACAGTGCTGAACCCCACCACTAGCCCCTCTCCACACCATGGGCGTTCCCACCGTGCACATCTCGGAGCCCTGCTTTTTGTCATGGGCAGAAGTATGTCAGTAAACCAGAGGTGAGAGCATCCTCATCACAGACAAGTATGCGTGCCACAGAGACAGTTTGTGGGAAAGTGGGGCCACCTCAAATCACAGAAAGATTCTTGGAACTTGCAAAAATTCTACTTCAAACAAAGCAAAGCAGGACAGGGGACAGGGGCGGAGGGGATTTGAAGGGCCTGAGATTAAAAAGAAGTAAAGATTTAGTCACAAGTGAAAAGCTTCTAAGGTAGAAAATAGCAAGGATTATGGGAAGAAATTCAAACAAAAAATGAAGACGAGAGTGGAACTATTTTTTAATGTTTCTTCAAGTAGCTAAGGACTTAATCCTCCTCCAACTGAGAGAGAGCTTTTATTTATCTGGTCAAAAGCTATTTTCATGTCATCTTCTTCACATAAAAATGCTCATGTTCTGTAATAATTCTGACCCAATAACTACCCATGGACACAAAGAAAGAGAGCTCTAGCAGGCACAGAGTCTTACAGAACTTAATCTTTAGAAATACTTCCAAGAAGCAATATCTGATTATTAAATCATCAGGCAATTTTATCCTTAATGAAATCTCAATTGTACTATTTCCAAATGTGTCTAGAAGCAACATACTGGTACCATAATCACTGATTCTAACCAACCAAACTGCTAATAATAACTGCTCTGAATTCTTTTTTTCTTTTTTTTTAAAGAGACAAATTATATTGCTCATATAAAAGACTTCAATGTAAAAGTGCTACATCTTATTTTGTCAAATATGCTACATCTTATTATCAGTAGTTATAAGTAAACTATAATAGCATGAAGTCTCTAGTAAATGTATCCTGAAATAAAAGTAACTTCAAATTACTATTTAGATAATTGTTATAAAACATGAATCTGAATTTTTCTCCCCACATCCTAAAAATCCTACCTGAGGTCAAAGCTATATTATTTATGTTAAATTTGCCTCAAATACAAATACTACACACAAAAGTTGAATTTGTTAAAGAATAATAATATACCTTATCAAAGGGAATACCATACTTCTTCAACACTGAGGGAGATATCAGTGTCATCTTGTGGCGAAGAAATGCATCACACCCTTGAAAACTGCTTGGGAAAAAACCTAAATGGAAATAAAATATAAGCATTCAGCAATGTATCAATTAAGATAAAATTTCAGATAGTTTTTTTAAGTTTTGTACTTCTTACAAAATGACAGCGTTATGCAAATATAGACCAACTCTACAAAAAAAAAACACACACACAAAAAAACAGCTCATACTAAAAATTAGAGTCAGAATTCTTAAAAATTAATACATACATACTTATATCACCAAAGGTTAGCTTCACAAAAAGATCTACCAAGAGGTGTTTTCATAACATATAAAATTACTAAACCTGAAAATTTTTCAATTTGTAACACATTTAAATTCAACCTGCCTAATATCTGAATCTGACTAATGAACAAAATATTAAGGGAGGTTAGCAGAGATAAATGTGTTTTAATAGAGGAATCTCTCATTTTAGACTCTTAGAAGTTGATCATTCAAGAAGCACTTGTCCCAATGCACGGCATACAGTAAACACAGAGCAGTTTCCCACCTTTCTTTGTTTCTTTCTGACCAATTTCAAACAGTTTAACTGCTACTAATTTCCTGAACAACTTACTGTCCAGCATCAGTCAAATACTTGGAAACCCACCTCACCAACCTTATGGGAGTAGAGCTTTGAGGAGGCCTTCACATGAGAAAGCTAAACATGCAGCAACCCTTTTTTCTACAGTGTGTTGCAAATCAAACCACAGTTGCTTTTCTCATTGCTGACTTCAACCCTGCAGTTCTGTCTGAGGCAGACTCTCATTAACTCAGTTACGCAGCTAGGAGAAAATGAATATGCTTGGTGCCCTGCTCTTTCCCTTCCTCACTCAGAGGGAAAACTACCATTCTGAGGAGAGTGGGCAAGCAAGAAGGGAAAGAGAAGAGAAACATGGAAAAGACAGGAGAATCACAGAGAAAGAACCCAGAGGAAAACAGAACTCATCAGGAAAACATGTGCAATGTTTATAAGTAAAGTGGTTTATGATCTTAACTCCCTTACCCCCAAAATGAAGATAAAACCACTGAAAATGTTACTTATCTAACTCTGTGGCTCACTATGTGCAAACAGGTAAAAAATGTGACCACTTTGACAAAAGAATGATCAGAACTCATTAACTAATCATGTACCATTTTAATCTCTTAGAATAGTGGGGTTCTACAGGAATATTTTTAATGTAAATAAGCCTTAATTGATGCCACCATCGAGTGTGTGAGGCCACAGATCATCAGAAGGAAACAAATCAAACAGCCAGGAAAGAGCCATTCAGGTATAAGAAACCACCTGCAAAAAGCAGTACAATCTGCTTAAGCATCTGCACCTGGATTTTTAAAAAGAAAAATAGAAATATAAAAAAAAATACATGCCAACAAAAACATCAGAAATACTGTCATTTTCTACAATGCCAATGGGAATAAGAGGAATGATTTTGTTTCATATGGTCACTTGATGCAGTCCTCTATTTATGGTTAACATTCATAATACATAAATGGAAGATAAAGTATATGGCAAATAAGCAACCTTCGAAAGAATGCAAACCTCAGTGAATGGAGAGAAAGTACCACATGGATGGAATGGTCACATGTACACAATACAATGTCCTGAGGCCTACATCACAGCGTAAAGAACAGCAGGGAGGTCCCCACGCGCTAAACCCATGGAAACACTTTAATAATATGATTTAAATGGATCTATCAAACTTTTCAAATCTGTAACTTTGTGCAGCTCTAAATGAATTACATTTTAAATTAAAATCAATGCAGAAAGGGGAGTCTATTTAATTTTCCTTTGCTATGGATTTGTAATCAGGACCTGAACAATGTGGTGACTGGTCATAAGTGAATTTAAATTGGAAAATCATTGAAGGAAGGTAATTTGCAGTATATTAAGAACTTCACATTGTTTCAGAATTTATATTTACAACAGGCTATCAGAATTATATTTTATATCACCCTGGAAAAAGACTCATGAACAGCACAAATTATATACAAAGCATGTATGTCAAAATGAATTTTACCTCAAAACACCTGCAGGAATACATGGATCATACCCACCCTCACTCCACAGTCCATGAAAATTATTTTATTCAACATATACACAAGCCAATATAACCAGAATATTATTAAACATAATGTGATAATATATTTTAAAACTCCAAAGTAGCCCAGCTGAGGTGGCTCTCCTCTCTCTCCTCTCTTCTCTTCTCTTCTCTTCTCTTCTCCTCTCTTCTCCTCTCTCCTCTCCTCCCCCCCTCTTTCTCTTCTCTTCTCTCTTCTCTTTCTCTCTCTCTCTCTCTCTCTCTCTCTCTCTCTCTCTCTCTCATCCTCCGCTTCTCCCTCTCCTTCTCCCTCACCACCTCCACCTCTGCCTCTCCCTCTCTCTAGGCATGTCCTCGGGTGAGGATTATTAAAAAAAAAAAATCAATGGTTACTGCCCTGACCAGCTAGGTTGTGGGTTCAATCCTCAGTCAGCGTGGTGTGTATGGTAAGCAAACTGATCAATGTTTCTCACTAACATCGATGTCTCTGTCTCTTTCTTTTCTCCCTCTCATCAATAAAGACATCCTCAGGTGAGGATTTTTTTTAAAAAGAAGTCAATGGGCCCTAGCCGGTTTGGCCCAGTGGATAAAGCATCGGCCTTCGGACTGAAGGGTCCCGGGTTCGATTCCAGTCAAGGGCACATACCTCAATTGCAGGCTCCTCCCCAGCCCGGGCCCTGGTCAGGGTGCATGCAGGAGGAAACCAATCGATGTGTTTCTCTCACATCAATATTTCTGTCTTTCCCTCTCTCTAAAAATCAATGGAAAAATATCCCCATGAGGAACAGGAGGAGGAGGAGGAAGAGGAGGGAGGAGGAGGAGGAGGAGGAGGAGGAGGAGAAGTAGTCAATGGTTACTAAACCTTAAAAATCATCTCATTCCCTTAGGCCTTGTTACCCAAATCAAGCAGTGCTGTTCACAAGTAACAAACTTCTCCCCCATAAAAGAGTTCTAAAAATCAAGTACAGCTAGGGTTAAACTATGTTGATTCATGTTTTACTTTGAATTCACCTATAGGTTCTTCCATATTTTCTCTAACTTTGCTGTTTTAAAATTAAATATGAAATTTGAGTCTGAATTCCGAATTACTCTCAAATGGGTTTCAATGTAAAAATCCTAAAAAGATCAAACTGAGAAGATAATCAGTTATTTCACATTCCAAGCTATGGAGACTAGTCTTATTCCCCCCATACCAACTCCTCTCTACAAGTAACACATTGGTTTCTATGACAGTAGACCAATGAGTTCTCAATAAAATGATATCTAATTTGGGGGTGAAAAAATCTGAAAGAACTGTTTGGAAATAAAACTGCATTTCTACTAAACTATTAAATAGTAAGAGCACATACTTTCCATTTTAAATAAACATTCAAAAATTAGAACAACTGAAATATTGCATAGAATTCATGGAACAAAATAGTTTAAACATTTATTCCAAGAAGAATCAACTCTTGTGAGTAGAGCACCCAAGAGAAAGGGAAGAGCAATATCATCAAGTTTACAATAGACTACTCAGAAAGTTGCTTTTTTGGGTCTATAGCTTGTTTATATCATCTTCAAAGATGGGACACTGCTATCTGTCAATTCCCTAACAAAATAAAGTCAGTATGTGTTTTTTTCTTTTTTTTAAGATATTATACAGTGGTAAGCAAGCAAAGGTGGTCTTTCAATCCAAACATTTTAGAGATGAAGGCTAGCATACTAAGGAATATATACTCCAGAGATCCCAATAGAGCCCTGAAACCCTAAAAGCACCCCACAACCACCTTTGGTGAGATTGCCATGGTACTGCTGGGAGTTGTTCAGCACGGGGAAGTATAGAATCACGTAAGCCCTCCCAAGGACCAGGACATATCCAAGATTGCCCTGTATTTAGTGTAAAACTGCTCATATGTAAGAAGCACTATTCTAAGTGACAGAAACGAGATAGAAAAGTCTACATATTATATAATTCACTTTTATGACATTCTAGGGACAGAAATCAGATTAGTGGCTGCCAGTGGCTCAGGGGAGGGATTCGTGAAAAGGGACATAAGATAACTTTATCAGGATACTATTATATATCTCAGTAATGGTGGTAGTTACTACATTATTGCATATATTGTCAAAACTCAATAAACAGTATATTCAAAGGGGGTGGCTTGTACTGTAAGTGCATTTTACCTCAATCAATCTGATCCCCCAAAAAATCATTACATTTTTAAATTGTGCTAGAAATAGAACAGATTTGTTCTAAAAATAGTGCGTTCTTTCTATCAGAGACAAATTTTTCCAAATTGTCAACTGGTTTACACTTTCTAATATGTTAGCTATTACTAAAAAAAATTCTTTTAAAATCCCAATCCCATATGACAAACACAAACACATGCTGAGGCTATTAAATCACCAAAGTTTCAAAAATTTAAAAGATTGGAAAAAGATTCAAAAATTAAAGTTTAGTATCAGTTTCTATGGGTATATTAACAATAGTTTGGAGAAGCTGAAATTAGTTATTAATCACTTAGGGGAAAAAGGAAGAAGAGAAAAGAAACAGGAGGGAGGAAATATGGAGAAACAAATAATAAGGGGGGGAATACGGAAAAAGGATATGGAAGGATTGCTTCTGTGAGAAATGCTTTTTAGATAAGCATCTACACCTGAAAGCTTATTAATGGAATAAGCCAATGAGCTACATTACGTGGGAAGAAGCCTGGTCATTTTTATCCACATTCCTGCATAAGAGGTCAACATTAGGTGTTGAAGCTATAGTTGGCCTCTCCATGCTTCCTCCCGTTCATGGAACAAGTAGTTACTCAGGCCTGGTAGAAAATTACCACACTGCAGGCTTCACTCAGATCCAAGTGTCCATAATCCATCGACATCTCTACTGGTAGAGATACAGCCCCATTGAGCTCTGCAGGAGGACGGCCAGGAGGAGTCCCTATTGGTCTTGGTATCGAGAAGGACGGTGGTTCTGCCCAATGTAACAGGTATGTGGGTCCATTACATACGGTTTTTACTGCATCCTGAGGTCACTTTGCTTCAGTTCCCACTTCCCCCCACCCCACCCGCTTGAATGGACAGATGGACCACACATACACAGGTCACCAGGACTCTCCAGGCTATGCACTTGGGGCTCAAACAGGTCACAGTCAAACTAACCAGGATTTCCCTAGGCCAGCTTCACCCTGCAGAATCAAAGAATTCTCAGTTTCCTCCCAAGGTAATTCCTCCCTGCGAGCTGGCATTCCCTTCCTGAGTTCTTCCTCCCCACTCCCTACTGTCACTTCTCAAAACTGTATTTCATCCCACATTCAAATTCTACTAGCTTGGTGTATGTTATATATTACCATCCGACGTCTAAAATTCTACTAAGACAGAAACATAGCTGACTAAAAATATTCAGAAATCTAAACACAGACAATGACATCTAATATCAAATGATGAGGAAATTAACTTTAGGGATTGTCTCACCACTCTTAATGCAGCTCAACTGACAATGAGATGAAAACAAACACCATGACACACCACATATTGTTGAGGCATGAAATAGGCAGAAAGGCAGATGATATATCATTGGACTTCTTCATTTTTTATGGCTTAAGGGGACCCTTAAAATTGATTGTTTATAATCAGAGGTATTTTATTTATTAACCTTTCAAAACCAGAAATTTTAATATAATATTTTCAGACTATCATCTAAATCAAGCTGAGAAAATAATGTATTTACCAATTTGAGAACTTGCAAAAGTACATTTTCCTAATTCCAACACAGAGGTATGAGAACAGGTCAATTTCAAATATGTTCACAGAATTTAAAATGACTTCATTATTGCTGCTCTTCTAATCTCAATAGCATCTCTTTTGGAACAAACCTTTTTTTAAGGGATTTGACAACTGCATCCCAGAAATGCACAAATATGCCCAATTTTGAATATAATTTGAGAGAATCCACAGACTGCTTACATCCCACCACAGATGCTGGTCTACCTCCTGGGATAAGGATCCCAGCACATGAGACTAAGAATCTGCTCCACAGGCTTACAGTCAAGATTCCTAGTCATTTAAACACATAAACATACACACCCCAAAGGTAACTATTTTAAAAAACCATGAACTAAATTAATCCTTCCTAATAATGATTCTTCTGTTCCATTTTGCTGAATATTGTTCTTTTAATAAAGTCAAAACTAAAACACTTGTTGCAAGTAAACATAAGGACCTAAAATAATTTATTCAGTTCTAACATCCTGTCATTTAAAACAAGATTCCTACTGATCATTCACACTTCTAAAATCAGCTGCAAAAGTCCTAACTCATATATTCTTTCCCCAGTAATCAAAATTTGGACCAAAGTAAGTCATCTTTAATTTTTCTTAAAAATAGGCATGTTATTCACAATAAGAAATCAATGGAATTCAGTCCTGCACAAAAGATTTTAGCCATTCCCAATTGTCTTTAATCCATATTTTGCTTAACTTAATAGAAGAGCAAAGATATTCTCTCCTTTCTAAAATGGATGAGATTTAGACATTCTAAAAACTGGAAATCTTCAAAACTGTCACTTATGATTTAACATTATACCTCTATTCTACTTTATACTTTCCATTCAATTGTATCAAACCAAAATTAGAAAGAATGCAATAGCACTACAGGCAAACATAGCAAGTATAAAAATTGCAAAAATTCACTGGAGATTTTTTATTACATTTATGTCTACATAATATTGAAAAAAACCTGTATAAATGAGAAAGCGGCTAAAGAGCAAAATCAAACTCCTGGCTTTATTAGGTGCAGGCCTAATGTCTTTCAGATAAAATATTTATAGGTGCCACAGTCAATCAAGATTTCAACAGGAACAGAAGATGAAAGCATTCATGCATAAAAGGCAAGTGTGATAATTATGATATGGAGACAAGATAATGGAAAACATCCGAGGCCACTTTTCACTTTGTGTATCAAGTGCTGCCTTGACCTAGCCATCCTGCAATGCGCCATCACATTTACTGTTACTTTATCATTTTAATTACTTAGCAGAATTCAATTAATTTGGCTGGCATGTAGTCAGCAGATGGGAATCCTTCACTATCTTACAGGGTCTTTTCCCTGTGTCATTTCTAAAAATAATGCTGCAAAACAGGTTTGAATAAACATGCAGCTGAGTATAAAATTCTTGTCCATCCTTCAAGTTTATTAACCTCTTACTGATTAAAGAAATGGCACCTATTTTCCTGGAATGTCATTTTCAGATAGATTATGTCAAAGTGGTGACAGGTTCTAGCCAAAATTTCAGAATGACTCTATACTGTAAAGTTTACACCGGCTCCACTTTAAAATTCTCAGGGTGCAAATAGAAAATAGTGGGATAATTACTACAGAGAAGAGGATAGTTCCGCATGCAGATTTAGCACAAAGTTCCCTGCCTATGTATTTAAGGATTACAGGAGTCATTTTCTAAGCTGTGTTCTACATAATCTGTTATCCAGAACCAGAATTCATCTACCTTAGCATTCATGAAAATAGTCCTCAACAAAGTTCAAGGTTACAATTACGTTGCTACTATTACTATAATGTATTACATTATAAAAATACTAAGGCTTTGTAGTTATTACTTGCCAAAATTATAATAATGTTTCTTACAAATGTGACATGTAACTGTTCTTTCTAATACTCTTATAATTTGGAGGAAAGTAATTTTCAGATGTTATTAACAATTTCTCTTCAGAACTGTCAAGTCAAAGAATGCAGTTTCTCAGTAAGCCCATTTCCTTATTAAAAGAAAGCTACATACAGCAGGGACGAAATTCCTTTCGTACTAGAAGGCAAACCTAACATTCCCATGAAACTTAGATTAGTACCTGACTAAAGGGCAATATTCACTGAGGATTTAATCCTGAATAAAACCGAACATCTTATGTTTAGTTGTCACTCAATGAAACTTCACTTTCCCCTGGAAATAAGTCACTCTCAACCTTGGTAAGGGTGACTAGCAGAACAGAAGATGAGGCTGGCAGGAGGTGAATCTGATTCTTCTCCCTTGTATAAGCAGATGAGGGCAAGGTTGCCTGGCATATCTTTAAGACAGAGAAGAAAAAAGGGAAGGTACTATCTGCAAACACAAGTGAACACAAAGTAAAACCATCAATAAGCTTCCTAGAAATAACTATGGATAAAGCCAAAAGATAATGATAAGATAATAATTCAAGTTAAAGTAAAGAATGTTTAAATTTGCCAGTCTAAGAAGACATACATTCTCACACTCATCCAGTAACCTGGGACCATTCATCTTCATATTTCCATAAGGGCAGTCCCAGGCCAAGGGTGCCAAATGAGAACTGGGAGTCAGAAGTCCCCTTTGGTGAAATGATCTGGCAACATAAAAAGTATTCATAAAAAGTATTCATAAAACACCCTTAGATGTGGCATCGGTACACTTTGGAATTTATCTCAAGGATGTAACTTAAAAGAAGGAAAAATATTATTGACACAATGATGTTAATACATTATATAAAAGAGAAAAATATTGGCAATAACCAAGATAGTTATATGCAGTCACTTGATGAAATATTAAGCAGCCAACTAAAATAACCATGAATATTATGCAACCAAGAAAACTATGCATACATTAATGTGAAAAAAGTTAAAAATTATTCAATGAGAAGCATTTAAAAGCCAATAACTTAAAAAGAATAAAATTAACTCATTGACATTCTATACTGTAAAAAACCCTCAAAAACTGTGAACCTATCTGGATGAGAAGCACAGAAAGCAAGTTTACCTTGAGCTAGTCGTTCAAGTCGTTTCCCATGCTCCGGGGGTATTGCATACCTAAAATTTAAACATAAATGAAGATTTTAGGTTTATAACTGTTCAGCTACTTCCTAAGATATCTACTCCTAAATAATGTCATGTAAAAAAAATTCAATAACAAAATCTACTTAGATGAACTGAGTAGAGATCAGAAAAACAATCACAGAGTCATATCCCTTGGACAAAGGACAGAGGAAAAATAAACTCTTAAGTCACTGATTTCAATGCTAGGCTCACCATCCCAACCACATTTGAAAGGTTAGGGAACAAAGGCCCAAACTGCTTAGTCAGGAGGCAGCTAGCCACTGCATGGAGACTAGACCTCTCTCCCAACACTCATAGCAACCCAGAAATCCAGGGCTTTTTTTGGTTGTATGTTTTAGTTTTGTGGTTGGTTAGCTAGGCTTTGTTTTTGAAGAAAACCTAGATTTGTTAAGATTTTTTTTAAATTTCTTTATTGATTAAGATATTACATATGTGTCCTTATCCCCCCCATTACCACCCCCGACCCTCCCACTCATGCCCTCACCCCCCTGTTGTCTGTGTCCATTGGTTAGGCTTATATGCAAGCATACAAGTCCTTTCGTTGCTTTTAAAATGTTTTTATTGACAAGCAGCAAAGAACACAAAATTATTACAGCAACATTTAGATTTTTACCAAACCTTTCTATTGTACTTTTGAATAGACTTTAAAATTTTTTAAAAATCATCAGCCATAAAAAGGCAGCTATTATTTATGTCATGATTATGTGACTTTTAAAATCTTGATTATAGACAAATAATTTTTCATCCTTGAAGAACAGAAATATTCATTTCTATTTCCTGGTGTTCTCAAAAGTGAAGTACCTGAATTTATTTTCTGTAAACTTAATAACAAATTTTAAAACAATGATCTCACAATATACTACACAAATACTAAATTTTATAGGCAGTCTAATGAGGAAAATTAAGGATATTAAAAATAAAGTTAAATGATCATTTCATGTTTTAAATAAAAATACGTTATTCCCAAGGCCTACATTTGCTGTTTACTAGCCCAAGTTACTTTTAAGTTCAAGTTACTTTTTATTAAAATAACTTTTCTAATTTTACTGAACACCACACTTGGTTGCATTTAAAGCTACTGATAACATATGCAAAACTTAATTGGATCCGATGTAACTAGGCAATTCTCTGAAAGAAAATTCAACCATATATCCTGTTCCTAAAGGCACCACTAATGAAATTATTCCAACTGAATTGGGAAGATAAAATTTCAGCATAACGAAATGACAATCAGTGTATATTTAAAGTCACTTCTTATTACTTTTTAATCCCTGGTATGTCTGTATGTGTGTGTGTGTGTATATATATATATGTATGTGTGTGTGTGTGTGTGTGTGTGTGTGTGTATATATATATATATAAATGTATATGTATATATATAATCACCCATGTTCAAAGGCTGTTAAATCGTGTTATTTACCCATATCTTCAGGAAAAAATCACTTCTACTGTCGTGGTAAAGAACCTGCTTCCCTCTTTATAATGGTCTGGCCCTCTAGCGACTTCAGGGCAAAATTATAGCTAATTTGCCTACAAACAACAGGTGGTCATTATAATCTGGCTACTTAGTGTATGTGCCCCAGACAGGAGGGTCACCTCCCCTATAACATACATACACACTCTCATACACTGCCTCAACTTCCTGATCAGTTCAAATGTCTATTTCAATCAAAACTTTCTCTCTCCCAAGATTTAAGCATCTCACAGGACTCCACATTTTTTAGCATGGTCTCCCCATTTTGCCCTGCCTTCTCTTCATTCCTCCTATATAGTACCCAGGGCTGTAATGCATACAATCCACAGGCTTGGGGTGCTTAATTTCCACTTAAATGGCATGGGGTGGGGGGATCTAATTTCCCAATATAACTGCCCTAATAATTTAATTCCTATGATTGTTGCAGCCAGCACTGAAAATTATCATCTAATTATTTAATTTAAAAAATGAGTAATAAATAAAAGTCAACCAGATAAAGGTTCCAATTTCATAAGAATATGTAAATATTTTTCATGAAAATAATTTTAAAAATCATTATCAGACTACATTTGAACAGAATGCTCTGAATTAAGGGCAGAAAAGCCCTTTAAAAAACCTAAATTACTAGTATGCTTTCAAAAAGTTTGAAATCCTGCTGCTCTGATAACATCCAAAGTTTTGTTCATTTCTTTGTGGAAACACTAAGCAATTCTCAATAATTTTTTTAATTATAGCATAAAAATACTGCCTGCCTGCCCACCCCTGTGACACTTCGCCACCAGAATTTGGAAATGATTAGCTCTTCTGCCTAAATACAGGGTGGTGCAAAAGTGGGTTTATAATTGTGAGTATGTGAAACAGAGCTCGCTCTTGTACTATTATTTATTAACTAGTTGTGGGGAGCCGATATAGGGTTAAGCCTCAGACTGACCTGTTGGCAAAGTCACAAACAGGTCTTCCGAGTCTTAAACAACCCAATCCGAGAGGTGGCTGCTGATTTACACGCGCTATCATTTAAAAAATAAAAAAGGGGGAATTTGCCAGAAGCCGGTCCATCCTTGCTGCTTGACACAGTCACTGCAGGGAAGAAACATCTGCACAGCATATGTTTCAAGGGACCTGGGGTATATGGCATACTGTTCTTAATATGTTTGCTTCCCTTCTTAGCGCTATGTGTTTTAACCAAGGTCACCTCTCCGGGAAAGGTTGTTTCCCCAGGTGGGGATTTTTCCCTGGAGTTAGGGATTAACCAGACTAAGGGAATCAATAAAACCCCTTAACTAAGTGCCAGGCGGGTAGTTAATCACTTTACAAACAACCTTGGAATGGAGATAACAAATGCCCTAACCTTTGGAATAGAATGGATAGGATTAAAATCAACTGGTATAAATACAGATGTAACAGGAAAATAAAAGAAGAACCTCGCTATGCTGATCAACTGAACACTGTCTCCGTGTCATTCCTTCTTCACCGACTCCGTCCACACCTTTGGGAACCCCTGGACCTGTTGGGGTTGGACCCCAACAACTAGTGGCCCGGTGCACAGATTCATGCACAATGAAAGGAAATTAATTAGAAGAAATATTTTAATATCATTATTCACCCTTTCTTTATAATAGAAGTATCAACCAAATTCACAATCAACAATGACAGATCGAAATACGCGCATGTGATTGGCGCCAGCAAGAGCTTTATATGTATTGTACATGTGTGAGTCAACTTAGCCTTTTATATATATAGAATAAACTTGCTTAATTAGACCTGCTTTCTGATGTAGCTAAACTTTTTCCAGCCCAGTGAAGCATCCCAACTTCTCTTTCAGGTAATTGTCAGCAACACAGCAGTAAATATCAACACAAAGCAGATCATTATTGCAGATCACACAGGGAGAACAAAGGATAAAATATTTAACTGCAGTGGTGTTTGACTATGTTCTGCACAGTGAGAAAACCTGAAGTCATTTTCAAGTTCCACCATTTTTGTTTAAGTTTTTTCATTAATATATTTTTATTGATTTCAGAAAGGAAGGAAGAGGGAGAGAGAGAGAGAGAGAAACATCCATGATGAGAGAGAATCATGGATCAGCTGCCTCCTGCAAGTCCCCCACTGGGGATTGAGCCCACAACCTGAGCATGTGCCCTTGACTGGAATCTAACCTGAGACCTTTCAGTTTGCAGGCCGACACTCTATCCACTGAGCCAAACCAGCTAGGGCAAGTTCCACCATTTCTTATTTCTTTTCAGTCGGGTCAAGTTTCTAAACTTTCTAAATCTCCATTTTCTGGCTAATGAAGAAAAATAGGATTCCATCGAGTCTCCTATCTACCTACTCCAGGACTTCTGTGATGATCAAATGCCATGAGGCATGGGAAAACACTTCACAGACATTTGGTTAAACTATAAAATTTTTGCACCTGGCTATAAAGCAAGTCAAGTTCCTGGGCTGAAGAAACTCCAAGGAGACTAGTTGCTAGGGAGAGAAGCTGGGCATTGCTACGCGGTCATTATCTAGCACCCACAGCGACCATTTCCGGGCTGGGGTGGGCTGTGGACCGCATTTTGTGCCATGGGGGTCTTAACAGTGTTGGCTGTGATTTGGCAGGATGTCACTCCAGGGTGGTGGTGGGGCCTGTGTCCCACTTGGGGGAAGCCGAGTGTTGATTTGTCAGCGCCAGGTCTGTGGTGCTATTTATTTTTAAACCAGAGGCCTGGTACATGAAAATTCATGCACTGGAGGGGGGGGGGGTCCTTCAGCCCAGTCTGCCCCCTCTCACAGTCCGGGAGCCCTCAGGGGCGGGAGGTGACCCTGCGGTCAGGGGAAGGCGACGCCCCAATCACACCTCTGTTGCTGCCACCGCTGGCAGCACAAGCCTCAGCCGGCCCTGGTTACCTGAGCCTCAGGCGGCCCTGGGCAGCTGGGCAGCCGCCATCCAAGACTTGCCTGGATCTCGGGCTGGCCCTAGGTGGCTGGGGGGCTGAGGAGACTGGGGGTCTCCGGAGAGCATATTCCCTCATTATTGGCTGTGGGCGCCACATATTTGAGGGTGGTGTAGTCAATTAACATATTCCCTCATTATTGGCTGTGGACGCCGCCATCTTTGCGATGGTGTGAGGGTCAATTAGCATATTCCCTCTTTATTAGATAGGATGGCCAGTGTGTGTCATGGCAGCTCCTGCATTGAGCATCTGCCCCTTGGTAGTCCGTGCGCATCATAGCTACCAGTTAAATGGACACTTAGCCTATTATATACATAGATTACTGTATCGGTTCCCATACAAACAACTCTAAACCTACTTTTGCCCCACCCAGTAAATATAATAAGAAATAAATAACTTTTCTGAGTCTTACATCCCGCTACCATCCATCGGCTTTCTTTTCTTCACTTTACACACACTACTTCCAATGGCTGCCACGTTTTTTCCTCCCATTCATGCTGGAGCTCAGTGTAATCTGGATCTTACTTTCATCACTCTCAATACAGCTGCTTAGACAAAGGTTG